GGGGGGGGTCTCTAAATGTGTGTTTAATTGCAAATCAGTAGCTTTTTAATGCCTAATAATCACAAGGAAAATACATACCTGAAATACTAAAAGGAGTTGGTAAATGCTTTCGGATGGCTCTCGGCTGTAAGGCAGAGTGCTGAATGAGTCTTCGGACCTGACCCCGTCTCTCCGCATTACTTCTCCTTCTGAGTGATTTTTAATCAGAGGCCCAATTCCAAACCTATCCCTCAAGGTATTCAACCTGAGGTACATTTCATTAACTTCTCTCATCTCGCCGCTGCCATTCCACTTTCGCCGCGCCGTTCTTAAAGATGCACACTCAAGCGATAATCAGATCATTCTCCACTCGACCGGAGGAGGGGAGAAGTTTCTGCAGTGATCGAATGTCAGCCGCAGAAGGGTAATGTCCACCGGGCTGCAGCTCTCTGACCGAGAGCTGGGATGTCTGCAGAGTAGCATTGCACTGGAGGTTCGCTGTCACTGTTAGACTGTTTGGAAATATAAAATGCATATTGTAAAAAAAAATGATGGAACACGATCTGAGCAGCAATTCTCTGAGACTGTTATTCCGTATTATATCTGACCATTGTTCTTATGCAGGTGCAATCATGGAGTACATCAGTGATCACCGAATCTACTAATAAATTCAGATTGAGTATGTCGGATTCATTTCGGCATACAGTATTAATGTGGCGGCAGCGACAATACAGATGGCCCAGTTTAATCACTGCAACAATATTAATACTGTATGCTGAAATGAAATGACATACTCACTGCTATGAATGGATTTGGTGATCACCAGACATTTAGATAATCGATTATTCATTCAAAGCATTTGTAAAAGGGACAGAAATTCACAAAAGGGAGAATTTCATTCTTCTCTGTGTTAGATATCATTGAAGAGTGAATATGTTTGCGTTTTGCACGATTGGTCAAATAACAAAAGATGAAGCTGAAACTTTCAGCTCTGGGAAAAAGATTTTTTACTATTTTCCTCCATTTTCACTTTCAATTTGCAAAACTCACCAACACAAAAGACATCAGACATTTTATATCTTACAGTATTGCTTTAAGGCATAAAACATTAAAGGGGAACACCACTTAAATTAAGAATTCCAATATATTGTTTGCATGCCCAAGGAAAGTTCAATCACGATTTGTGAACATGAGCTACTCTCTCCCTCAAAGCCAGAAACCAGAGTAGTGCATCTCAACCTTATGATGTCATCAGGTATAAAAGTCTGGAGGTGCTCCATGGACAATGAATTTCTTTTTATACCCAAATGAGCTTTATTCTAGTGCCCTGTTGTTGGTTGTGAAACAGAAAATGTACACGTATTCAGAACATTTCCCTAAATGCTCTCAGTGTCATCTATAACATCTTTCCCAATTCATTGTCTATGAAGTCGTTCACATTCACTAATATTTTTGGACCATCATAGGAACACCATGTATGCATTTAGAAAATATGCGTAGTTCCCCTCTAAACCACATTTTACAACACTGAAACATTACTGTACATTTTAAGATTTTCTCAGTAATCAAAAGGAAATCAATTGCAATTCTATTTAGACTTCCTGCTACTGCCGTTCATTTGAAATGGATCACAGTGCTGCAGTGCTGCTCACCAGGACAGTGCTGCCATGACATGACATGAGACATGCTTGCAGACAAGTTGTATTGATTCAGTAGTCTGTACACAAAGTGATACGCATCGAGTAAAGATGTGAACACGACTTTATAGTTTAGGTGCGAATTAAGAATGACAGTTTGGCACTTTGGTTTGTGCACATTGTAGTGAAAAGTGAACTACACTTAATGATGAATTGATTAATCAAGAGAAATAATCAACAGATGAATCGATAATGATTCGCTGTCATTAGCTGAAGCCCCACTCCTGGTAATTGAACCTGAAGAGGAGAGACAGCACAGTTGAAAAGAAAAGTCATAAAAGAGTCTTAGTATAGTATTTCACAAATAATGTCATAAAAGATCAAACTACATAAAAATGTCAAAATGTTCGAGTATAATATACCATAAAAAAGTAAAGCTTATCATAAAAGAGTAATAAACAGTCATAGTACATATAGTATGTGGGAAAAATGTAATTAAATAAGCTAAAGATGCCATTTAAATATGATATAAAAAGGTCATAATATTGTATGTCAGAAGACAAAACATATGTCATACTAAAGTTAAAGTATGTCATAACAAAGTCATAATATGGTATACATAGTATAGTCGAAAAAAAGTATTTAAATGAATACATTTGTGGCATATTCCATAGTCTGATTTGTCATGAATTATTTTAGGAAGACAAAAACAACAGGAAAAGTTGAGTTTTGAAGAGCAAGCCAAAAGACCAACACCCCCCCAAAACTGCTCGTCACAAATCACGCCTCCGGTAATTAACGAGTTCCCTAAAAATAAAACAACATTAGCCTCCCGCCTTGCACCCCTCGCCAGGCAACAGCTGGGCAGCAAGGACTCGGTGACTTCGCCGTTATTTTGGCACGGCTCGTCCGGGGTCCGCCGCGCGCCCAAGTCTGCCAGATCGATGCGGCGCGCTTCGTTTGGCAGATGAAGAACCCCCCCCCGCCCCCTCCTCAGGCTGTTGGGTCCACGCTGCGAGCTGAAGGACTACTCTCATTTACAGAGCAGTCACCTACACCCCGTCCTAGCCCTCCCTCCTGTCCTTCAGGAGGACGACTCGGGGTCCAGAGGAGCTGACTCCGGCAGATTGGTTATGGAGATCAAGCTGCGCGTGAGCCTGGTAATTAAATCTAACGCTCTGACCGTGGCTCCGAGCCCTGGACCTTCTGTCCAGGTTGTGCTCCTGAGCCCTACCTCTGATGCGCACAGTCGCCCGCCACGGACACGCCGTTTTAATTGGTCCTGGAGCTTCACCGGTCAGCTGCAGGACATTTTCCAGAGATGTGGCTCTTGATCCTGGTTTGAACTGGATTAATGTTGCCTGACTATGTCCGGTAATTTGGAATGTATTTTGATCTGCTTTGTCTGCTTTTTGTAAAGTAGTAATCTACTGTATTGTGCTGCAAACAGAAATCCCCTGATAATATCTAATCCATGCAAACTGAGCGGCATCTTTTCTTTTTTTAAGTCTCTCCTGTCATGAAAAATGAAAGAATTCTTGGCACATTTTTCTTAGCTTCTCAGTCTTTTAAAATGTCAACTTTTACTTTATTAAATAAAAAAACAAAAAGCCTACAATCTTGACCTTATTAATTCGATCTGGGACACCAGTGAATTCCATTATCATGTGTGATTACTGTTCAGGAAACAGAGAGGCCAGGCTTTGATTCATTAGGTAAACCAGTTCCCTTCATAATGCGAGTCCCTGTGCTGTCTCTCCATCTCTGAAGGCAACCCTCTGCTGTTCAACTCCTCCATGCAGCCCGACTTGACGGTGGGACGGACGTACAGCACGCCCCTCTGCTTCCAGGACAGCACAGACAAAGAGCTCTTTGACCCCCTGCCGGACATCAAGGTCAAAGTCCAGAGCTCCTTTATGGTTTCGCTAGGCGTAGCCGAACGGGCTGAGTTCCACGCCAAAGGCCCCGCCGAGACCTTCCCGCGGGACCTGAGCCGGGACTACAGCGGCACCGCGGACAGACGAAAGAAGGGCCTGGTCACCCTCAACGGGCCCTTCAGCACCGGCAGAGAGCAGCCGAGGACCAACGGCGTGTTCGGCCACCCCGGGGGACGCCTGGTGGTGCCAAACGCCGGTGAGCTTCACAGGAAGTGGATGAAAGTGCAGCGTTCGTTACAGGCGCTACCTCTGTCTTTTGTCGTGTTGATAGCGAAAAAGGAAGCTCACACAGCGTGTTCTGAGTTTCCATAATGAGAGGCGGCAGCAGCTGCTGCTCATTATGGAAGCCGCCGTGAACCGGCGCTGTTTAGCATGAGGCGCAGCCTTCCCAGAATGCCTCGCGACACAACAAACATCTATCGTGTCCCCACCATGTTGTTCTCCACGTCCCTGGTGCTCGCTGTTAAACGATCCGCTGTGTGCGCATCAAGACAGTGCAGTTCGTCTTTGTTGTGTTTTGTGGGCACGCACACACCCACACACACAAGAAAAAAGTGGTGCACTGAACTTTTCTCGGCTCTAGAAGGTGGTACACTGTCTAAAAACTGATCCAAATCAGTGGCTTCCAACAAGGCTATGAATAGAATAGAACAGAACGAAGAGTACTAAACACATATCCGTTGACAGCAGATAATCAGAGAATAAAACAAAATGATGGTTTATTCATTAATATACATCTATAAAATAATAAGGATACTACATTAATACATGAATGTGGTATGAAAAAGCTGTTTTTTTATTTGAAAGTCCTGTACTTTTTGGTTGCCAAAAGCCCCCGTATGGTTCTTCCTGGAGTTCAGGATCTGCAGACTGAGGGAATAAAAGATGAGAACTGTCTGTCTGGGTGTCCATGGCTTCGTCCCGTCTTCTGACAGTATAAGTCACACAGCCTGGTCTGGGGCTTCCTAATTATTTATCTGGCTATTCCATCTGCTCTAGCCTTTTCCTGAGCCTGTAGTTCCAGAGAACAACCAACCAGGAAATGTGCTTATTTGCTTTCTTGCTAGATGAGAAGCCTGACACCACTCTAAATGTCTCGACACTTAGCTTAGCTTAGCTGAGCTTAGCATAAAGACTAGAAACGGGGAAACAGTTTGCCTGGCTCTGTCCAAAGATAAGAAAATCCACCAAACAGCATCTCTCACTAATTAGCATATTCCATCGTGTTTGTTTAATTTGCCTGACTATTTGTTAACTGTAAGCAGTGACTTCCTGAAGTCATACACTGGTTGCCTGGCAACCCCGGATGATGAAAAAAATAAGTTTTGAGGAAAACTTTGACTTGACCCCGTGACCAAACTCTCTCCACACACAGCATATGATTCTGCAGGGAAGAATACTACAACCCTTTGTATTTTATGTCTAGAAAAAACAATACAATTTAAAGCCTTCAGAATCCACCAAATGTAACTGTTCTTCAGGTTGGTAATATACAATGCTGGGGAAGTGACACGTTCCAGACCTGGTGAAATCCAGCCTGGTTCATCATGATCACTTTGTTATCAGCAAAGCACTACTTTGACAGTGAGCCAGAAGAGCTTACGGCTTCACCCAAGAGGAAGGTTTTCGAAAAAAAAAAGGTCACATCGTCTGTCCAAGTTATATTTAAAGGGATAGTTCCAATGTTCTGAAGTGGGGTTGTACAAATGCTTATCCGTAATCAGCTACCCACAGTAGATGGCGGTCGGCACGACTCGATTTGAATGAAGCACGCAGGAGTACGGGTGCCTCAAAGATTCAATATTATTTTCTCTGCTTTACCTTGCCACCAGACAGCCCCAGGGAACTGGAGCCGTTATCTTCAAAATCACAAGACCCCTTAGACAAATGCAGGAATAAAATAATGATATAACAATACTTTTATTTGAAATAAGGTGGATACGTAAAATGAAATAGGTTTCTTTAGGTGGCTGAAATATGTTCTGCTGTCATTTCCGTCCACTAGAGTGCACTACTTTACGCTTGTGCCGGTACGCCTGTCGGCTTCTTCAAACTGGGGGCGTGCTGACCGCCATCTGCTGAAGGTCAACAACTGACTATTGATGAGCACCTCATACACCCCCACTGAAAACACACCAGAACTACCTCTTTCAACTAGAAACAAATCCAGCTCCTTTTTCTTTCTACAAACAAAGTAGCAGAAGAGGAAAATGAGCAAACAAAAATGAGATAGTTGACCCGTGTCACTGTCGGTATTCTGTGTTCAGGGATTTAAGCACCACACATGTTTGCTGCTCAGCCTTCAGGAGATGCTACATACAAAACTGAAAAGAAGTTGAATGTGGTCTTAGGTGAGAAAATCACTAAAGTGAATGTTCTTTCTTACTATGAATACATCTCCTCAGACCTTAAACATTACAAGCTGTTGCTAAGATCCATCAGTGGCGTTGCCAGAGCAGGTAGCTGTTTGTTATTCCTCCACATACTCTCAGGCAAAGGCAAACGGGGTCGCGCTGTCATAGAGTCTCGCCAACACAAATGGAGGATTTTTTCACCGGTTGTCGCCGGGTCAATGGTCTGCGCGAACCGCTGCACTCGCGGCCCTCTTCTGTGGCCCTCGTGTACGTAGCCGAGGTGAGGCGAAATCAGCCTCCTGCGGCCGTCTTGCCGGCTGAGGGGTCTGAGTGGATGAGTCAGTGCTGTCAAGTGCAGCGCTCACGCAGCCTGCTCTGGAGGAACCGCTATTCATTAGAATGAATAGCCATCTGCAGCACTTCACTGCAGATTACTGGAGTCACCTTAGTGATACGGAACCCAAATAGCAACATTCCTCACATCTGTGCAGTTCATGAGAGTGGATTTACACAAACTATAGAAATGCATATTTCCTCACTCACCTAGTGGAGATTGTTTTACTTCAATAGGTTTTGAGATATCTGCCTCTATCCCAAGACAATGGAGATGTAAATATTTAATGGATTCAATTCAGAAAACGTCATTAAACGAATTTAGCAGCAACATGTTTCTCTGGAAACAACATCCTGAGACCACACTTTAAACATTTTAACTACTTTTCTACAAAAGACGTGGTCCCTATGTGAGAACAGATGAAGAAAACACAGAGAACTAAATAAAAGCACATGAAGAAAATATCTTCGTCACTTTCACAACACGTACAGCACGCGAGCCATTTAAGATGTACTACAAGTCAACAACTCAGCAGTGATGCTGGAGAACAAACTCCTTATGTTCATGTTAGTTTTTAACATTTGTGACTGAGTGATTCCAATATCACCAGCGAAACAGCTAGCGTTAGCATGTTTGTCCGTTTTTGGAACTTTTGAAAAGGTTTCAAAATAAAGTGAAGGGGTCCTGTGATAATTAATGGGACGGTTAGTTTTGTTTTAAAATATTGGAGTTTTGTACATACACAACTTGTGACCCCTTAATACAGGTATTATGTAGTATTTGTAGTGCCGTAGAGCAACTTCGTTCTGACCCCCGACTGGTCAACGTTTTGTCACGGCCCTCATGTGTGATAATGAGGGGCCCTTTAGTGTCTGCATGAGATGCACCGACGCTTCAACCAACTCCAACTTAAACCCATTGTCGTCATTATCAGACGCTCGCACAGACCTTCACCCAGAAGACCGCTGTTGGTGTTCTGTGAGAAATATCAATGTTGTCTTCTTTTACCTTACTTTTGAAGTATGACATTACACAAAAGTACTTAATATATGCAACAAACATGCTTATTTGAACCCAAACCCATAGAAACCCTTTTCATTCACATATTTTGAGGGGAGAGGTCAAGGGACCCCTTTGAAAATGACCATGCCAGTTTTCCTTCATTCAAATTGAGCCTAACTTTGCAGCGTTAATCAACCCGCTTCCAGACAAGCTACTATGACGTGGCTGGTCGTCTAGCTTCATATGATGCCAGTATCGTCCCCCTCAATTAATACTCAGCTCGTTTAGCCTCTTAACGACAGTGGTGTGTCACTCAGAGGGTTAAATATTGCAAGACTTTTAACACAGCACAAGAAATCCAGCTGTATCTGACAAGCTTCACATCTGTCAGTTCTCTCATCTCAGCCTCCACCAGCACCAAACACGAATTGTTATTTAATGAAAACAAACTGCTTGAAAGGCACATTCAAGAGATGAATGAGGTCTTACAAAGTATTATTTTTATATAGAGCTGAAAAAAAAAAAAACATCTTTATCTGTCATCTCCCACTCTTCTTCTCTGAACCTTTTTATTTCATAAAGCGGGGCTTTTACATGCTCTCATCTCCTCTCAAGTCACACAGAGGCAGATGAATAGTGGCAGGCATCAGTGGCAGGGCAGTGCTGCTCTGCAGAACTCTCTCTCCTTGCTTCTTGAAAGGTGTTGCATAATCAAAAGTGTAGCGATTCAGAAGGAATGGAAAGATTTCTTCTGGACAGTCTCTAATTCAGACAAACGTTTTTTACAATTCAAATATTCAAATATTGATTGATGTGCCTCTTTATGCCTATTCAGGCTGCTGAGGTGAACCTTGACTGGATGACTGGGTTTAGTTCTTTGTCTGTTTCAGATTTTGTTTGATAGATTCAAGTCCCAGAAGTACCATCATGTCAGTGAAAATAATTGCTGTGACTAATATGTCCCTAAACTCCGAAATGGGATCTCTCCATTCGCTTTTGGGATTATTGGGGAAAATAAGCTCTGTGGCAAACAAACGTATGAGACCCTTTCGCCACATGTTAGAAACGGACTTTTGGGATATTTACTGACGTATTTTCCTCTTGTGGAACCAAACTTTACTGTATTTTAGGACCTTATTTCAGGCATCTCACTAAAAAACCCATTCATTGATTTCGAGACGAGGGAACCTGAAGTGCAAACATGCCGACTCATTTCTCGGTTTGACGACTCATTCCTGCCGCACTCTATAATATATGAGGTCAGTCTGTGGGAAAAAGTTCCCTGCAGTGAGCCAAATTCAGCAGGCCATAGACACTCTCTGGTGCCAACAGTATGTGCTAAGAACCAATGGGAGCCTGTGCGATGTCATAATTAGACAACACATCATGCAGATATATTTATATTGGAAACCATTGGGGATGTAAATGTATTATTTACCTAATTTCTGTGTCATCATAAATAAATGCAAGATGGCGTTCTATATCTCGAGAGACTGGAAAAAGAAAAAGGGAAAACAAAACGAGAGAGAGTTTACAGTTTATTTCCACCTAATCTCTGACTCCAATGATTCAAACATTTACCCAAACTAAGTGTGCTGAGGATTTTTGAACAAAATAGACAATGATAAGATAGTGACAACAACTTTAGTTTTGTATGAACGGGTAGTTGAAAGTGCTTTACAATAGACGTGAAGACAACATCTGACTAAAACAGAGAGAGAAAACTTTAAGCTAATTTGAAGAAGAATAAAATGTGACAGAATAAGATGTAAAGTGCAAGTAAAAATAGGTTAGAGTACGTGTAATGAAAAAAGTTTTAAAAGTTCACACAGTTTGCTCAAAACTGTGTATTTGTTCCATCAACTCCTGTCTCATACTTGTCCTCTAAACATTCCTCATTAAAAGTGAACGGTGCAACACAGCAAATACGTTTCCTCCATATTCTCTCTGGCTCAAAAGTCAGCACTGTTAAGAAGGCTCGCTATTTGTCAAGAGCACAAAGACACAAATTTACTTGCCTTCATGATTGAATCCACCAATGGCAGCGATTCCATTGGAATTAATTGCATTTTGGGATCTGGGCGTTTTGAATGCTGGTGTGTTATTATGCTGAACTCTGTGTTTTTTCTACAGGACACAACAACTGGCTTTAGATTAAATCACAGGTGGAGTTTAAACTTTAGCTTTTGAGCACACGGGGTTTAAGAGACCATGTGGTTTTGTTAGAGACAACACACACCTGTCATCACTCTGTAGTGATGGAGTAAAGTCAAATATGTCTGTGCTCTGCATGTTCGGGACCTTGACATGGGAGGCTGCTGTTCACGGACAACAGACAGTCAATGTTTTTTACCCATGACAACGGAAATTTCCCCAACAGTCTTTGTGCCTGAACTTACCAAACCTTAATCTTTGGCCTAACTGTGCTGTGTGTTGATGAATCCATGGCGCTGAAGTAGCAGGTTTTTGATTGAGATTTCTTTCTCTGGGTCCCGCCCTTCTGTCAGTTTCATCTTAGATCTTTAATATTCTCTCACATGAATGTATGTTTATAATAGTAACAGGTTTTAGACATCATAACAGCAATCTGTATTTATTTAGACTTTTATTTTGAAGGAGCAATGGGCGGACCAGAAGCTCAGATCGAAATTCAGAATCCCGATGCTAATGGCCATGCACAATACAAATGATCTTACACCTGCTGCTACAGCAAACTAATAAATACATCCTCCTTCACTTTGTGATACATTTATGATGATTAGTGTTTGCATGTACTAAGATAAGTGTTTCATTTTTATAATCCCACTGCCTAAAATTCACATTGAGTTTGGTTAACTTTATTGTTTTCTATGTCACGGTTCATTCCAGTAAAAAGAAGCTCTCATGAATATTGTCACAACCCCTGCATGTAGGACATGCTGTGAGCCCTTATTTTCACCTCCACTGTCAGGCTGTTGGAGTTGTTGCTGTTGACACATTTCTGTGTGTTTTTCCAGGGGTCAGCCTGCTGGTGCCTCACGGAGCCGTGGCTGAAAATATGTCCTGGGAGATGCACATGGTGATCAATCAGGGAGAGGCAAGGTGAGACCAGAGTTTACCCAAATATCATTTCGAGCATCTATCCGTCTGTCAGTCTCCCGCTATCTTATCATCCATCTCGCCTGACTCTCCATCCCCCGTCCCCACTGTCCTGTTTCCCTCTAATTATTTACCGTCCTTTGGTACTTTCGTTACGGCCGCAGTCGGCGCTCAATAGGACCTTCACCTCTCGACACTTAGTTGTCTCGCTGATGCAGGTTATAAAGTTTCAAGTTTAACGCTGTCACACGCAAACAAAAGATCTGGAATTGTAAATGTTTGGGGATGTCACTTGCAAAAGACAAACCTGCAAAGATTGTGAGAACGCTTTCCCAAAAATGTGTTCGGCCATCTCTCAATACTTACTCTGAGTTCATTGGTTCCTATTAAAGACTTTACGAACAACTCGCATATCCTTTTGATAAAAGGTCATTTCCCAAAACAGCTGGACACTGCAGAGTCTAGCAAACGTTACTCAACAGATGGAAATAGTGTTTTGTTGAGGACTACTTTCAGTGGCGGATTAATCCACATTTGACGCTGTTTTGAGTATAAACAGCTGCAGAATGGTGTCAGGGTCTTTCCTGGCTCAAAATGAGGCGGAGGTTGTGCCATCCTGATCACGTCGTAGGTCCTAGGTACTGTTTGGTCAGTGAGCTAAATTGTGGTAAAAACTGTTGTGCTGTGTTCACACCAATTTTTTCTCGACGTGATTACATACAAAGCCAATGCAAAAGGCAGGGGAGTAGCTGCAACATCGTGCCGGGCGGAATGAGAAATTGAGGAAAGAAATATTGTAGCCATAGGTGTGCACCCAGAGCCCTACGATACCTCACATCTGTACAGAGAGTATACGGTTTATGTGTATAAATCTTATGCTACAAACAATTCTATGATCAATCCATTTGATTGATTGTAGAATGTTTAGCCTACTTTTCTTTAGTCATCTTTTTTTCTTCGCTGTGGTGGCGAAGACGTTACCAGCGGAACACTGCGGCGCATATTCATTTGAAAGTGCAATAACCGATGGTGTAATTACATCACTCACCCACCTACTCAGTCAGTGGCAGACTTTGGCGGGCTCCCGCTTTTTAGGGTTCCAGTCAAAAATGCACAATTGCCAGAAACCCATGAAGTGCAATGCTTGTTAGGAAATGGTGTTTTCCATGAAGACACAGGAAGTCAGAGTTTTGCCGCGAACTGGAGGCGGGACGGAATTTGACCGATGCGGCCGCCTCGTAATCCTTAATGCAGGAAGGAACATGTCACCCGGTGCGACAGTGAGGCACATCTCAACAAGAGAACTCCCATGGGACACAGGGAAAAGATAGATCAAACTATGATACACACACAACACATTCATTGTGGATTTGACTCTTTTCCTGGAATTTGTTGACATGGACATAGAATATCTTTTACCTTATCCTGTAGAAATTGATAAAAGAAATTGATAAAATTGATAAAGAGATCAATTAATAATAAGTAATCTAAGTTGTTATTAGTTGCCCACACATTTCTACTTTAAGTAGGCTGCTGACTGTGTTTGCTTACAAACATAAAGAATGTGTATATGCAATCCAAAAACATCAAGTTTACTTCGAAAAGAAACACTTTTTCATTTTGATCACTTAGTTTCGATTGTTGCCTCCATTATAATTATTATAAGTATTATTATAATGACTTTTATTATAAATAATGAAGTTATTATTAACTCTAATATTATTTTTATTGTATTGTTGTTGTTATTATTGTATAGTTGTCGTTGTTGTTATTATTAGTAGAGACAGTGGTTGTAGTTGTAGCACTAACATATTGGTAAAGAACCATAATTATGGGCTTTTCAATGCAGTCATGCGTATAGACATGACTGCATTGATAATAGATGTATTAGTGGGCAGTAGTGCAGTCAGACCCTCCTCGTGGTCTTCCCCGCCTCTCTGTGTGTTTACTGTCAGGCTGTGTGACAGACGTGGCCTCTCTCCCACTTCCTGTCCTGACCAGTCCTCTAGGTGCCGTGCTACTGGCGTTCTTTTCCAGAAGCCCCTCCACAGGTGATAGTCTGGGCTTTGATGTCCCAGCTGCTGGGGAGAAACACAAGTTCACGCTGTGCGCCCCTGGGAGGAAGGGGCTGTGGAAAGTTGAGTCCTTCATTTAACCAACCGACTCGTAGGATCCAAAGTCAAACCTCCAATCTCTTTTCTTTTTGTCCCCACTACTCTGCGGAGAGTCAATATGTAGTTATGTACTCCACTCGGTGTCAACAACGTGGTGTTCTGGAAGAGAGTCACGACCCGGGAAGCTCGTTTAAACGAGGATGAGTACGGTGATGAATGAAGAGTGGCGGCGGAATCGAAGGCGCAGACGTCTCCCGAGGCCTTTCATCTTTGCAGCTCGCGCATTATGTATTCCGACCACAGCTAGGTAACGACCCTCGGATGGACTCAGCGTCTCTCCGGGGGGTGGGGGGGAGAGAGCCACCTCCCCACGGAGAGCCACAAGGGCTTTCCAGTTTCCTTTGAAGTGTCACTGTTTATTCACACTGCTCCGCTTGAACAAAGTCGCGTGGACAAAGGAGACCCCACAAACTGCACACAAACTGCACACACATTTGCGTCGGGTTTAAATAATAAAGATTGAAATAATAAGATGCAAACGGTGCCGGATCGAGTGAGCTATGCGTGTAAAATTTTAAAGGCACTCAGTCTAATTTTTTTACTGATCTCAAGGAATGCCGAGCAGCTTCACTTTGTTGTCTGTGGGGTTACAATATGGTATATAGAACCCATGAATCTCAGGCTTTTTTGCAGCAAATCCTCTACAGCGCAGTGTTGTTGAAATGTATAGTGCGTGTGTAATCCATGACGCCTCTATACATCTTTACAAGAGGATCCCGAGCTGCCTTCATCTCCTGTTATACACTTTCACCTGCCAGCACAAAGCGTCGGGTTTCCTCCCGCTGGTTTATCCACCTTTGAAACGCATCAAAATATTTCAGGCTTCAACCTGACAGTATGTGTTTCTGACCACAGATGAGCTTTTCAAGTGCTTTTCTTTCTTTCTTTCCGTCGCTTGGTGTGAGCTGGGGGATGCTTACTTTAGACACCTATATTTCTCCCTGTGGGCTGTTGTGCTTGTCATCTCAGCCAGCTGTCAATCACTGTCTGCATCCTGGAGGCCCGGAGGACACGGGGAAAAAAACGCTGCAGCGTCCAAGCCCCCAAACCCTGTCCAACCTCCTCCTCCACACCCTGATAGGGTTCCATTAAAGCTTATTTTTTCTTCTTTTTTTTTAAATGTGTTCTTGGAGCTTTTCAAAGGCTCATCTAAATCTTTTGAAGGCACAGTTTTGCTTAGGTCAGACATATTGCCTTCTGCCTCCGAGGTTTTATGGGGCGCTTTGTATTGCGAGATAAATCCCTCAATCTATTGAGGCAGAAACGGCTTTGTCCTGGTCGGAAAAGAGCTTTTAATGATGAAACTAGTTTCCATATGTGTGCTTTATGTAAGAGGTGACCATTTGGGACATAGTGCTGCTTGTTATTTGTTGTGGTCCAGACGTTCCCGGTTCGGTTTTATTGTACAAAACAGACAAAGAAAAACTCAGAACACACAAAGCGCTTTGCAGAATCTGTCCTCTAGAGTTTGAGAGTTAAGACGATAATCTAGTATACGTGGTTGTCGGTAGAAGTGCACCAGCACGTATGGGTGTGACACGGCGTCCTGCAGGGATGTTCGGCCCTCTGGTCAGACTCTCAGCTCAGCAGAGTGGCTGATCTGGGTTTTTTTCTGGATGGAGAGCTGTAGCAGCTCCTCCATGAAGCGACCAGCTCTCACGGTCCACAGATCCACACGCATGGACACGTCGCTCGTGGTTTCGGTCCAGAGCACTCAACTCTCTGTCCTCACCAAGGTGACATTAAACTTTTGAAATGAATAGCTGTCGAAGTTCAAACTGAGATCCCAGAAGACTTCCTCTACCCATTTACACTAACGTGAGGACAGAGGCCTTCGCCTGCCTGCTGTTGTGTGTGGCTTGTGTGATGCAGGTTCACATCTCATCACAGCAGCATGTACAGTATGCCATTGAAGTCACGTGCTTCACTTACCTCAGCCAAGTGCAAAAACCTTTCAAGAGTTTTCAGCGTCAAGTTTACATTTTGGACTGATGGGCCCGCTAGAGAACAGCTCATAGAACATCCAGAATTGAGAAGAAGAATGAATTTGCTTATTAGATTTTGATATATTCTGCCCGTTAGATTTTGTATATGAGCAAACTTTGGCCCAATAGTGGTGTTGGAGGAAAAACCGAGGGATCATTACATCATCCTCCGAGAACCATGAATATAAGCAGCAAATTTCATAGAAATCTTGAAAGTTGTTGAGATATCTTGTGTTGAATAAAGTGTAAAGGGCAGACTGCCCAACATCGATTGGCATTGCAATCCCTAAGGCCCCACCAATAAATCAAGCACGTCTTCAAAGTAAGACCTGTATTAATGACATGTTTAAAGGATTTCATTGCTTTATTTTCAGTGCAATACAAACTTTGAAAATATAAAGTTTGTTTTAAAGGGATGGGGATTAAAGTGGACATTGATTTTCAGTACGGCCATCATCTTTTCCATTTGCTGTTGAAAAAGACCCATGAGTCAGCTAACATCCATCCACACACACACACACACCCGCGCGTGAGTCCTTTATTGACTTCATCAAAACAAGAACATCGGACTTTGGAAAGTGAACAATTGACTGCTAGGCATTCAGGTTCCGTTGATGGACTCATAACCAATAACTATGAGCCTGATACGTTGTACTGACGAGTATAGAGTACATCGGGATGGATGAACCTCTGAAACAGCAGTTGAAGGTGCGATGTGTGAGATCTGGACACCTGTTCCAAACAAACAGAGGGCTATGATTCTGCTATTATTGGTGCTACTACTGCTATTATGTCGTATGTCGTATGATGTCGTATGTTGTGCAGATTGTAAAGCCCCCTGAGG